AAATATAAAAAAAGAAACTTGCGAGGAAAAAAAAAAAAATTAAACGGAAAAGTTCCGTAGTCTTTAACAATACATGCATCAATATATATATATATATATATATATATATATATATATATATATATATATATATATATATATACCGTGCGAGAGAATTTTTTTAAAAGAAAAATAAGAGTTACTCCACTTTAACCATCAAAGCAACGATAATGGCTACATAATCTTACTTATTATAAAACGCAGATTGTGTGTGTGTGCGTGTGTGTGTGTGTGCGTGTGTGTGTGTCTGTAACGTTTATATATTGGATCGAATTTCCTACATTTTTTAGCCGATTTCAACAAAACTTCACAGGACTACATAAAATTACCATGTGGTGGTTCTAACGGCGCCGAAAATGGAAAAAACACATTTGTTTTTTTAAGAAAATCAATTTGAAAACACGATTAAGACACATCGTGAGAATGAAAGGGGGAGAACTCACCCACGAAAATGTAAAAAATGAGCATAGCATGATGAAAAAAAAGGCGAACTTGACGAAAACAAAATTTTATCGTCTAATGTTCATATTATTATTAAAGAGGAAAGATCAAAGTATTTGGGGGGTATTTTTTTACATTTTTTAATCGTTCTTAACACGTCTGAAATTTTCGTTAAAAATATTGTTTTTTTTTGGTAAAAAAAAGGACAGATAATCAATCATTTTTAATCATTTTTTTCGATTTGATAAAAAAGATTAAAATCTTAATTTGATATTCTTTTAAAAATCAATTATCATTTTTTCAAAACTGATTTTAATAAAAACAGAAATTATACTGTTTATTTAAAATATTTTGAACCAAGCTTAACTTAGCTTCTGCGCCGAAAAAAATGTAATTTGAAAATAAAACAAAGCAGGTCATAACCTTTCGCGTCGCTTGACGATTGACGAAAGGCACATTCATGACGTTTAGATAACTTACGGGAGGATAATTCTTTCTACGGATGGAAGGAAGTGAAATTATTTAAGTGAACAAATTATTTACCTCGTTACTTTTAAGGAAAACTTTCAGCGCTCTAATTTTTTATTTTTATTTTTATTTTTTTTGTACTTAGCTTTCATTTTTACCTTTACGATGCTTTATGGAAAATATAAAGAAATTAAAAAATAAGACTGTTAATAGTGAGATTAAATTTCATAAGAAAAAGGTATCTAATTAATTTAGGTACCTTTCTTATGAAATTTTATCAGAAGTGTACATAAAATACTATAATTTTATGTACATTTATTATATTTACTGTGTTATTTGTATTTCCATTCATTTTATTATTAATTTTGATATTTCATTTATGGAAAAATGTCATAACTGAGATTAATATAAAAATAAGATCATATAAAAATAAGATCATATAAAAATAAGATCAAATTTCATAACATGATACTGATAATTGTAAGTACCCTTCTCAGTTGAAATTGAAAACTAAAATTAGCTTCTCCATACGTGTTTCGCAAAAGTAAAGGGCTTAACAGCGGAGAACAATGCTGAACTCAAATAATGCAACTAAATTGTATTCTGGTTGGTCTTCCGTACTTGATAATTACTGTCCGACTATAAACACAAAAATTACATTTCTTAATTACCATGGCTAATCTGATTGGTCCAAATTATACAATTTTCCAAGCGCTAGACAATGACAATCTCACACTGACATTTTGAAAGGTTGATGTTGCTTTTAACTAATGTTAAAATATTTTTAAAAATTCAATTTAAAAAATTTTTTAAAATCTTTTTAAAATTAAAGAAATAAGAAATAATTGTATTAAAAATTCAATTTTCATTGAAAAAAATTTTTGCTTTCAGAAAATATTGTCCATATTCATAAAAACAAATTAAAACAAATAAAAGCATTTGAAACTAAATAATATATTTGTTTTATTGAGTTTTGTATGTTACAATTCACAGCTGATTTTCAGGTACGTTGGCCAAAAAAAAAAAAAAAAAAAAAAACATGATTTGCATTCTTCAAAAGCTTTTAACTATTGCAATCACTAAAACCGATGGTCTCGAATTTTCAGTTTTTCATAAAAATTAGTTATGGGGGTGTTAATAAATATAAAAAAAAATTTCTGCCATGACTTTAAAAAAAAAAATATTTATAATAATTTCGATCATCTGTGAATAGTTTCTGAAAGTTTCATTAACATCTGACAATTATTTTTATTTTTGCAAGATTTTCCTAATTAATGTGTGTAAATACAAAAAAAAAACGCGCTAAAAATTATCTATGTTATTTACTACCCCTTGTTGCGACAAAGAGAAACGAGGTTTTTTAAATCAAAATTTAGAATATTCTAAAAAGATGGAAAAATTTTTAAAAATAATTAAAAAAAAAATTAGACTATTCTCTTCATAAAAGCATAAGCATTTTGACGATAAAATTTTGTTTTCATAAACCTTAGCGTCTTTTTCATCAGACTATGCTCTATGTTTTAGCGATTCCGTGGAGTGACTTAGGCTAAAAAACCCAGGTTGTTTGTGTGTGTGTGTGTGTTCCTTTATATATGGGATCGGATTTCTTACATTTTTCAGCCGATAAAACAAACATCCACTTTTTTTTTGGCAGGTAGTATTTCTTATTGTCTTGCACACTTTTCTCTTTATTTATACATTCAGAATGCTTTAAAAATTCCATTTACAAGACAATTGTTTATAATAAAATTCTAATTCTATTCAATCAGGGGACTCATCATAACGATTGAAAACAATGTTTTTGTTTGAGTTTGGGTTTGACCAATTCGTAAAAAAAACAAAACAAAAAAAAAACTAATTAAGACATGCGTGTACGTCAACCTTAAACAATAATCTTTGTCAATTTTATTTTTCAGTCTTCATGATGGTCGATACTTGATCTATCTCTTACTGTTACATCCCCGGGCAACGCCGGGCTCTACTAGTATATATATATATATATATATATATATATATATATATATATATATATTTAACCTCGCATAATCTGGCAGCCCTGAATCTGAGCTCAACGAAAATCGTTTCCCCCGCCTAAATTTCTAGAGCTTTTGAATGAGCTATGAATCACTGAAATTAGACAAGTGTGAGTGGAGGAGTTGATTGGACACACACATACACTGTACTTTATATATTAGATATGTAGTAATATACAGTATATATACTTTAGTATATATTAAAATTGAAACATCTAAATATCTTCTTTGCGTTCTTAGTGGTACGAATATCGTGATGCCATTTGCGGCTGCGTACCATTGGAAATTGCTTGGCGCGCCACGTGTGGCACGCGTGCCGTAGGTTGCCGTGAATAGCGGCTCGGATTAAGGAATAGAAGAGCCGAGTTCGAATTCCAGTCGAATCCATTATTTGCTAATACCCTTGGAAAAGGTATGAATCCTCTTCTTCTCCCCCCAGCTATGGGTAAATAGGTTCTTTAGCTCTGAATGGCAACTGGTCTACCGCAGAAAGAAATATTAACCTACTGCTTCGTCAGTCATATATCGAAAGATACATGATCTCCTAAGTGTGTATCACGCGTGGCATCTGATTTCATGATATTTCGAGAAATTCTGTTTTTGTAGTGCTTAATGTTTATATTAGTTATAAGGACAAGTCCTCCGAGAAATTATATCATCAATTTTTTTTGATTAAACAGAAAACCTAGTTACCGAATATTCGCTCTGAATTGTAAAATAAAAAATACAATAAAAATAAGATATTATTCAATTAGAAAATCTTTTCATTCTTTACAAGAACAGTTTTCATTTAAGTAATAAAATCTGTCAGACTAATAATTAAAAAAGTAGCATCCCTTTCTTTAAAAATTGCTTTGTTTATGTTAGGATATTGAGCATATAGAGCATATAAAACATATAAAGTTTTAAATCGTTTAAAATTCTGTCATAATTTTTATCGATTATATTATTAAATAAAAACTATATTTTCTAATCATAAATGAAAAAAACTTACTGAAATTAAATATGAATATGAATATTTTAAAAAGAATTTTGATTTTCTTTTCAAGTTTGTATAAACGTGCCAATTTTTGTAAACACGGGCGTCCACACACGATATTATTAGAGAATAATAGCCTTAACTATAGTAAATTTAAAGCCAAATATGAAAAATCAAATAAACTTAGAATATTTATTTTCGTTTACCAGACTGAATAAGATTTCTTAAATATTCAAGTCTGTAGACGAAAATAAGTAAATAAACTGTTTAGTAAATAAATGGAGCCTCTGCTCAAATACGAGTATTCGCTAAAAATAACGTTTAAGTAATAAAATATGTCTGGCTAATAAATAAAAACAGCATCCCTTTCTTTAAAAATTGCTTTGTTTACGTTAGGATAATGAGCATATATGTCTATTTAGAGAGACACAGAATATATATATATATATATATATATATATAGAGAGAGAGAGAGAGAGAGAGAGATAGATAGATAGATAGATAGATAGATGGGGGATGACGATACAATTCGAATCTATTTATATTTCTAAATGAGTGAATACGTGTATACTATTTGAAGATTCGCCTGCCTTAGAGCCAATCAAATGAATTGTTTATACACAGCCACCTGAACATACAAACCTATAGACGAATATTTGAAACGCTTAAGCCAGAAGCCGAAACCATATACATAGTTTAAGTTTTAAGTTACACATCTGAAAACAATGTAAAATACACCTGAACCTTAGACAGAAACGATTATAAAGCAAAAATATGATCTGGGGAATTTTGTTACAATTTGTTTAGCTTCGCGCTTGCATCATGTCAAGGTTAACAATGAAAGTAAAAACTTTTTTTGCTACTACCTTGTAAGATAGTTTTGTGAAAGTGTCTCGTAGGGTGCTAATGATCAGTGTTTTATCTAACACACCATAGGATAAAGCTCAGGGAGAACAGGATTTATGCCTTTACTTTTGCTATTAGTACGAAGTGAATGAAGGGAAGCGAACCTGGAGTTGGAACTATATTCAGAGATTCAGACCATTCATAATCTATCTATCTATCTATCTATCTATCTATCTCAGATTGCTTCTTTCTTTCTATCTCAGATCTTTTTATCTATCTATCTATCTATCTATCTATCTATCTATCTCAGATTGCTTCTATCTATCTATCTATCTATCTCAGATTATTTTTTCTTTCTTTCTATTTCAGATTGCTGCTATCTATCTATCTATCTATCTATCTATCTATCTATCTATCTATCTATCTATCTATCTATCTATCTATCTCAGATTGCTTCTATCTATCTATCTATCTATCTATCTATCTATCTCAGATCACATCTATCTATCTATCTATCTATCTATCTATCTATCTATCTATCTATCTATCTATCTCAGATTATTTCTTTCTTTCTTTCTATTTCAGATTGCTTCTATCTATCTATCTATCTATCTATCTATCTATCTATCTCAGATCACTTCTATCTATCTATCTATCTATCTATCTATCACAGATTGCTTCTTTCTTTCTTTCTTTCTATCTGTCTATCTATCTATCTCAGATTCTTTCTATCTATCTATCTATCTATCTATCTCAGATTATTTCTTTCTTTCTATTTCAGATTGCTTCTATCTATCTATCTATCTATCTCAGATTATTTCTATCTATCTAGCTATCTATCTATCTATCTATCTCAGATTTTTTTCTTTCTTTCTATTTCAAATTTCTATCTATTATCTATCTATCTATCTATCTATCTATCTATCTATCTATCTATCTATCTATCTATCAGATTATTTCTTTCTTTCTTTCTTTCTTTCTATTTCAGATTATCATTCATCTATCTATCTCAGATTGCTTCTTTCTTTATTTCTATCTATCTATCTATCTATCTATCTATCTATCTATCTATCTATCTATCTCAGATTGCTTCTATCTATCTATCTATCTATCTATCTATCTATCTATCTCAGATCACTTCTATCTATCTATCTATCTATCTATCTATCTCAGATTTTTCTTTCTTTCTATTTCAAATTGCTTCTATCTATCTATCTTTCTATCTATCTATCTCATAACTGTCATAATCTTTTTGCTTGGGAAGAATCGGCAGGTAAACCACATTCGGTTGCTTCATAATTTTTCATCATTTGTGAGGAAATTCTTCAGCATTCTCTGCCATATGTAGTAGTTCAGCACTTAAGCATTCTACTTTATTGGTACTTTTGGAAAGAAAATAAATATTTATTGAATCTTTTCTTACCTTATGTGTGTTAGTTTCTCCATGCTTTCTTTCCACAAGTCCCAATTAGTTCAACATCATTGGGAAACATTATTTTTTCGGAATTAAAGAGTTGTCAACAAAACTAAGAAGGGATTACAAGCAAATTCAATTGGTCAGTTTTTTTGGAAATGTGTATAGCCGAGAACTTTTCAGCATTACATATAGAATGTATATATATGCGTGCGTGTGTGAGAGAGAAGGGTAAAAAGTCGCCTATTGTAATCACATTGGCGCCGTGTCTTTTATGTAACAGTAAACGGTTGATAACTTGACGCAAATGATGTTTTAAAATATCGGAAAAATTTGCAAAAGAGTCAGCTCGGACCAAATTATGGGGTATTGTTGCTATATCTGGACTGGAGCTGCGCAGTCCTCTCTATCGATCCTTGACTGAGTTCAAAAGCATCTAGGTGGCTGATGAATTAGTTTCCACTTTACAACCATCTTTCTACGGGCAAAAAGGTCGCAACCCTTTTGCTGCTCTATCGCCATTTCCATGGAAAAAGATCTGACAAGCTAGTTTCTGACATGTACAGCTAAAACCCAAAATAACATCCACACAGGGATGAATCATTCTCATTCTCTTCGTATTCCATTGGTAAGGAGGAAGAGTCATTTTTTTATGGAACAGAATCCGGAAAAGATACTTTCCCAAACTCAATAATCTGAACCGCTAGAAGTCTAGCTATCTATCCTACATATCCTCATAATTTGCTCCACCTTGAGTGGCTCTTGGGCCTTGTATTGGATGAACAATAGTGTAACATATAATTTTATAAATAGCAACCCCCATATATATATATATATATATATATATATATATATATATATATATATATATATATATATATATATATCAATTATCCCTAAGCAAGACGATAATGCCACTAAGACGAAAGGAGTGAAAGAGAGTGAGAAGACTTTAGAAAGCACCGGAAACTTAATCCTATATAGGAAACAAGGGGTAAACTTCTACTCCTTTTCAAAAGACCGGGGAGGAGTGTGAACCGGACGATATGCGATTGAGAGGAAAAAATAAATAGTTAATGAAATTTCAGAGTTTAGGCAGAGATATCGGAAGATGAAGCAAATTTTAAAAGGAACCAGAAATCAAATCCTAAACAGAAAACAATGGATAAGCCTTTACTTCTGTTAAGAAATAAAACTGGGGAGGAGTGTGAACTGGTATAAATGTGTGTGTATGTGTGTGTGTGTGTGTGTGTGTGTGTGTGTGTGTAACAAACTTCACAAGATTTGGCGCTCGAACCTTCCATCCTCCTTAAAAGTCCAAACCTTTCGAACATTGATCGAACCAGTCCTACTGCATGGATCAGAGACTTGCACATCATCTGTTCGTCTTGAATGACGACTGGATGGAACATATACAAATCTGCTTATAACAAATTCAGACCATCAGTTGGAGGTCCCCTGCAACTCTTAGCACAATTTACAGAGAACTGAGACCAATCTCTCTTAAGGTCACAACCAAAAGGATTACAGTTTGTCACCGAGCGGTCATGGGAATCGTCTCATTCTTATTTCTATGGCATCTTTCTGGAAGTGTTTTCTCACGAAAATTGATTTTCTCAGACACCTTAGCTCGGGAGTCAGGGTTGGACATTGGGGATCTTCGGAAAGCAATACAGGATTGAACAGATTGGAAACGGATTTGTTAATGGACTTGTGACCAACCATAGGAAGGTCGAAGGATGATGATGTTTGTGATGCATAAACAGAACTTTGATTATCGATTGAGATCAGTGTAACTCGATTTGATTTCGCTTAGTGGCTAGTCTCCATGGTAAAATAGTAAAAGCATCTTCCATATCTGATGTGTTCCGAAGGAAAAGATTTACGTGTTCAGAACTTCTTGAAAACTATTTTATTTTCTAATGCATGAAACTTATTGGACAGTTTTAGAACGCAAGGGTGAGGTGACCGGTGCGACAAAAAAGCAACAATAATATAATGGGAAAGACAATAAATAAAAACTGGAAATTTTGAACCGTCGTACCCATAAAAGAACGGTATTTCAAAAGGACTGTTTTTCCTTTGACACCGCTATTATTTTAACTGCTTTAATTATTTTCACTCCTCAGTAATTGTGATGGTCCGGTTCCTTGTACCACGGTGATAGTCCAAGGTAGAACCAATAAAGAAGAACTCGAACACGGATATGGAATAACACAGATATATTACAAACAGGAATATATACAGAGAAGTAGAAAGTATTAGTACGAACAACCAGGTTTAGTAGGGAGAACAATGTAGTCTCGACCGGTATCACTATTCCAATGTCTTGTAGTAATTGTCTGAACGCGACTCTGTTTCGGACTGCCTCTGACTCGACTGACTGACGCGCTCGCTCTGACTGACTGACAGACTCCTGACGGACTTCTGACGGACCTCACTCCAGACTTCAGACTGAACAGTATTTAGTCACCCCCCACCCCGCACGAGGGCATCATGTGGCACAAGGCCGGTTTAACGTTGGATCTCCGAGCTCGTGGGCTCGGCCAAAAATATACCCTTTGAACCCGTATAAACGGGTTCAGGGTCGGTTTACCTCCCCGAAAGAGACTCCGCCCTTCAGCGTAGCCTCGTTCAGGTTCCTCCCCGCCCGAAGGCAGAGAGTTCAACCGATCAGCCGGTCGCCCGACTTCGGGCTGAACTCCCTGCTTCCTCTTGAGGCGCAGTATTTATTACGTATGGAATAGTCCATTTTGTTATTATGGGTAAGGTCCCATAACTAATGTTTTTTACTTTAAATAGCGATGATTAGAATGTTACTAAAACTTTCATATGAAAGGGGATTTATGTATTTTCCTTGTTCTTGAGAATTGACAGACAAAATAATGAAGATTACAATATTTATTTATTTGATTGTTAACTTACTCTGTTTATTATATTATTTATTGGAATGGTTGACAAACATCGGTTGATTGCTAATCGATTCGAACTTTATAAAATGGTAAATAATAAGGATTTCCTTATAGTTGGTTCATATATTTTAATAATTTAGCAAATATTTATAAATTTATGAATAAAAACTATTTTCATATTTATTTCTTTATAAATTAATAAAGGGTAAATTTGGCAATGCATTAGTTTTAACCATTTGAGCTCTGACCACCGCTTTACCAGTGGAAAAAAAATGACGTAATGCTACAGGTTGAACGGTAGATAAACACTTGTAACTATTTTTATATCTACCGTGAAACATTACATACCAAATATTTGCGAATTTTGACTCAGGAGCTCAGATAGAAGGATTAATATTGTTCAGGAACGCGTTAATACAATTGCATAAGATTTTAGAATCTTGTCAATATAAAATTATTCCTGTAAATAAACAGTCTAATAAATAATGAATGTTTAATATTTTTGTTGTAAATTCTCATGAACAAGAACAACAACAACAAAAAAATGTATAAATTCATTTTCATCATATGTTTAGGTTTTATTACAATACTAATCATCGCTTTTTAAAACAATAAACATTGCCGGGGAATGAAAGTAGTTGAAATAATAACAGTGTCAAGGAGAAAACCGTAGTTGTTTTTTTTCCGATAAATTAGTCTTGTATTTAGGTTTTTGGGCTGGCGTTTTAGTGAACAGATAAGGCAAACACAGAGATCAGACAGGACTGTGACAATGACGACGGCGTAGGTTAAATTGTTGACTAGTTGAAATATAAAACTAAATGAAAATGAAGCCAATGATATTCAGGATAAGGCACAGAATAAATTT